CCCAAAACCCCAAAACCCCAAAACCCCAAAACCCCAAAACCCCTGCTCAGCATAGCATGACTGAATAAACCTAAAGACACTAGATTATCTACTTAAAATTAGTTATCTGTTTGAAGTGTATTAATAGGTAGAAACTCATTGTTCCCATCATTACAGAAGATCCCATTACAATTGTTGTCAAAAGTTAAGCCAAAAACCTCACCAGAGGGCTCCCCGAAAGTTATCTTAGAGCCCAATTGGCATGGTCCGCTTGGCTTACTGGCATCTTCATCGATGTTGGCTAATGTGTCTACCTTAGGAAGGTCGATCTTACTACCCACAACTTCTAAGTTAAATTCTCCTGATATACTCTCTCCTAGCATTGAGGAGTATTGGGAGTCGAGGTTTTCACCATCGTCAAAACTTCCGTAATCCTGGGCTATGACAAATTCGTTGTTATCATGTGGAGTTACTTCCCCAGAGTCTTCAACTAAGCCTCCAACCTCACATGGATCATCAATAGGAGTGTGCTGGAAGTTCAAATTGCCATCATTAAAAAATGAAGTTGTTTTTTCTTCTTGCCTGTTCTCAGTCCGATGTACCAACTCAGATATCTTTTCTTCGAAAAGCTGGTCCCTAATTTTCTCGTGCTTACGGAACACATCTGCCTTGACATATTTCACCTTAGAGTTTCGCTTAATGCCAAGATTTAGTGAGTCTTCCTTTACTTTACAGGCCATACTCTTGCTCTTCTTCATAGGGAGCTCTTTTAAACCAGTCTTTGAAGCGATATCTTGTCTCTCTGCTTTATTCACATAAGTAATAAAATATTTTGCTTTTTCATGACACCTAGGGTTTGATCACTTTTCTAAAGCCGGGGTCAGCCAATTTGAATTTCAGAACAAAAGTGAAGAAATTCAAAATTATTTGAAATCCTAATTTTGTAATTAAGCTTACCTTTCTTATGATTTCCCATTTTCAAATTTCATGGAATCAGCTTCTGATTCCTTAAAAATGGAAGCTGGTGATCTAACTCAATTGTAGTACTCTTACTATGTTTGTAAGTCTTGCTAGACTTCTTACAGATTGTTATTACGTCCGTTTCCTCCTTGGTTCTTCAATCCGAACCTCTGAAAGGGAGACTTTGAAAGAAGGCCTTGCTTTTAGTAATCTTTTCAGAATTCTTGGCAACCCTTCTTTTAGGCTTATCTTCAAGCATTTTAAGCTCCATATTCTGGAGAGCATTAAGCTCTTCACTTATTAAGTTATCATTCATGTTAGCAAAGTATCTGAGATTTTCTTTCTTATCCTGGAAGGATGAGCTACATGGATCCTCCTGTTCTTTCACCTTCTGTCTTTTGCTCGAACAATTATCAGGAATAAATTCATATGTGACATTTATCAACGAGGCTATATGTCGAAGGGTTCCATTTGGTACTTTTCTCTCAACAAGAAACTGGTAATACGTGCCTTGTTTGTCAGAAGAGATATCAGAGTAGTCCTCAAACTTGTCATCGTACTTAACACATCTTTTGATAGTTTTCATATTGAGATAAAATCTAACTAATGAAATCTATAAAAAGTAATCTTCAATAATGAAGTTCGATTTGGGGTTTTGGGGTTTTGGGGTTTTGGGGTTTTGGGG